TGTTAAACCATCCTTGTGACATCTGGGATGAATCCAGCTTGATTGGCGTATATGATCTTTTTTATGTATTGTTGAATTCGGTTTGCTAATATTTTGTTGAAAAAAATTTTTTTTCTGGCTACAGATTTCTTCAACACAAAACAATCTCTTCCAACTTTACTGAGAATTTTTGTATGTATATTCATCAAAGATTTGGCCTATAATTTTCTTTCTTGGTAGTATCTTAGACTGGTTTGGTATTAGGGTGATGGTGGCTTCATAGAATCAGTTTGGGAGTGTTGCCTCCTCTTCAGTCTTTGGGAAGAGTTTGAGAAGGATCAGCATTAAGTTCTTTTTATGTTTGGTAGAATTCCCCAGTGAAGCCATCTGGCCCTTGACTTTTGTTTGTAGGGAGTTTTTAAATTAGACTCTATTTTGCTTCTGGTTATTGATCTGTTAAATTATCTATTTCTTCTTGATTCAGTTTTGGTGAACTGTATGTTTCTAAAAACTTGTCCATTTCTTCCAGGTTTTCCAGTTTGTTGGCATATAGTTGTTCATAGTATTCTCTTACTGTTTTTTGTTTATCTGTGGTGTCAGATGTTATTTCTCCTCTCTTATTTCTTATTTTATTTATGTTATTTCTCTTTTCTTAGCATGGCCAGAGATTTGTCTATTTTGTCTACCTTTTCAAAAAAACCAGCTCTTGGTTTTATTGATTTTTTTTCTAATTTTTTAATCTCTATTTTATTTCCTCACTGATCTTTGTTATTTCTTTCCTTCTGCTGACTTTAGGTTTGTTTGTTCTTCTTTTTCTTATTCTTTTAGGTGGTAGGATAGGTTGTTTGAGATTCTTCTTGTTTTTTGAGAAAGTCCTGTATTGCTATGAACTTCCTTCCCTCTTAGGAGTGCTTTTGCTTGCATCCCATAGATTTTGTGTGGTTGTGGTTTAATTGTCATTTGTCTCAAAGTATTTTTAAATTTCCTCTTTGATTTCATTGTTGACCCATTGAGTTTTTAGTAGCATGTTGTTTAGTCTCCATGCAATCTTTTTTTTTCTTTTTCTCATTTCTCTTTCTGTGGTTGATTTCTAGTTTCATGCCATTGTAGTCAGAAAGATGCTTGAAATAATTTCTACCCTCTTAAATTTGTTGAGGCTTGTTTTGCATCCTAGTATGTAGTTTGTCCTAGAGAATGTTCCATGTGCACTTGAAAAGGATGTATATTCCGGTTTTCTTTGGATGTAATATCCAAAAAATGTCAATTAAATTTGTTATATTGTGTCATTTAGGATCTTTGTTGCCTAATTGATTTTCTTTCTGGAAGATCTGTCCGTTGATGTTAGTGGCGTGTTAAAGTCTTCTACTATTATTGTATTCTCATCAGTTTTTCCCTTTATGTCTATTAATATTTGTTCTATGTATTTAGGTGCTCCTATATTGGGTGCATATATGTTAAAGAGAGTAATATCCTCTAATTGTATTGATCCTTTTATCATTATGTAATAATGATAATTCTTTATCTTTCTTTATGGCCTTTGTTTTAAAGTTTAGTTTGTCTGATATGGGTATTGCTACCCCTGCTTTCTTGTTGTTTCCATTTGCATGAATTATGTTTTTCCATCCTCTTGCTTTCAATCTATGTGTGTCTTTCACCCTAAAGTGGGTCTCTTACAGGCAGCATATTGTATACTCTTGTTTTATTATCCAGTCTGCCACCTGTCTTTTGTTTGGAGCTTATTGATACATATTTATTGCCATTTTAAACCTTGTTTTCCAGTTGATTTTGTATTTCTTCTTTGTTTTTCTTCTTGTGGTTTTATGATTTTCTTTTGTATTATGCTTGAGTTCTTTTTGTTTTTTGTGACTCTACGGTATATTTTAATCTGTGGTTAGACTGATAGTCATTCAGGCTCAAACATGTTCTTAAAAAAACCACATTTTCTTACCCCCCTCCCCCACATTTTATGATTTGATGTGCAGACACATTTTTAGGCTGGGTGATGAACAAAACAGATTCAAGTTTGCCTTCACCAGTAGAACAATATAGGGTGGACCCCTGGCGTCCAGAATGAGTTACTGCATGCCCAGGGATTTGGGGGTCTTAATTCTTAAAAAATTTTATCTGTTGTCTAACTCTAAGCAATGAGGAGAAAGTTAATGTATAGGTATGAGTATTTGATCATATTTCTGGTTAAGTGACTTTCCTAAGCACCAGGTTTAGAAGGGGGGCCATGAAAACACAACCAAATCTCTTGCAAAGTACCCTTTTTCTACTGAGGGTTTCTCAACCACAGTGCTATTGAATTTGGGCTGCACAGTTACATGTTGTGGGGGCTATCCTGTGCAATATAGGGTATTTAGTAGGTCCCTGGCCTCTGTACACTAGTCCAATAGCATATCCTTTCCCACTCTAGTTGTGACAATGAAAATTGTCTTCAGATATTGTCAGATGTTACCAGGAGAGGCAAAGTCACCATCTATCGAGAACCATGGCTCTATCCCAATCCCCCATCTTCTGAAAACCTATGGAATGCAAGTCATTGTAAACCCCAACATGTGGCCACGACAGGGAATGTCAACCGGGGGTACACCATCACCACCATGGTATCTTCTGAGTGGGTGCTGGAAATCAGTCAGCTTTTTCTCCCCTTCTCTTGCCTCCCTCTTTTCTGCTAACGTTACAGATGGCCACATTGTACTGAGACAGTGTGAAAGGCAGGTGTAAAATTTGATCAGGGGAAGGGATGCACAACTATAAACTGAGGGATAAGACTTTCTGCAATGTTTGGCTTAGTGACTGAGGAAACACCTGCTCTCGGTTATAATTGATTGCACTGCAACGTCATATGGAACATACTTACGTTTATAGAAAAAACAAAGGTGGTCATGTGTTTCTTTTTTCAGGTTAATTGAGATATAATTAACATATAACAATGCGTAAGTTTAAGGTCTATGATGTAAAAACCATGGTTAGATGCTGCAAAGTCGGCGACTTAACCGTATATGTGTTGCCAGGTCCAGGGCCTCTCCCCTCCTTGTCCAGGAAAGTACTGGCCCTTTCTCATCAAACACTGTTGTGTTTTTAGTTTTCATTACTTTGACCATTCTTCACACGAGGTTCACACCAAATATTTGTGGGGGTCAGGATAAGAATACAAGCTGAAGCCCCCAGATAGCATATTTAAAAGTTACATATCTAACTAATACATTTAAATAAAATGTTATATCTTTCTACTTTGACGAACTATGTCTTGATCACAATCTGGAAGGCCAGGTTCAAATTTAGACTTCTTGGTTCTGCACCCCAGCTCAGGGCAGACTGGGCAGGGAATTCCAGAGTCCCAGGTACACAGATCATGGTCTGGAGAGTAAACACAGACTCCGGGTGGGCCTGCCCACCAAGGGTTTCTTTTACCTGACAGAAGGGGGCCAGAGTTGGGCCATCTAAAGTGTGGGACAACATACAGGTGGTTCTTTCTAAAAGTCTCCATGGTCTGTTCCTCACCTATCCTTTCCTGATGTCACTTTTTCATCTGAGACTAGGAATTGAAAAGTGAGAGTATTGTTCATAATTTCAGTGAAATCCTCAGTGACTGAAAGTGAGTCTTGTTAATCTATCCTCTGTTTACTTATTTAGGTAAAAAACATGTAACATAAAACTTGGCATCTTAACCATGTTTAAGTGTATTGCTCAGTAGTGTTAAGTATATTCACGTTGTGAAACAGATCTCCAGAGCTTTCTTATCTTGAAAATCCAAAACTCCATACCTGTTAAACAACTTCTCCCTTACCCCTCCAGCCCCTGGTACCAACCATTCTATCTTCTATGAGTTTGACTACTGTAGATACTTCATGTAAGTGAAAAAATAACAGTATTTATTTATTTTTGGGTGACTTTTTCACTTAGCATAATGTCTTCAAGGTTCATCCATGATGTAGATTCTGACAGGATTTCTTTTGTTGTTAAAACTGAGTAGCATTCCGTTGTATGCATATATGACATTCACTGTTTATCTTTTAATCTGTTGATAGATATTTGAGTTGCTTCTACCTCTTAGCTACTGCGAATAGTGCTGCAGTGAATACGGGTGTGGAAATCTCTTTGAGACATTACTTTTAATTCTTTTGGATATATACCCAGAAGTGGGATTACTGGATCATATGGTAGTTCCATTTTTAGTTTTTTTGAAGAAACTCCATACTGTTGCACCATTTTACAATCCTACCAACAATACACAAGGATTCTAGTTTCTCTACATCCTTGCTGACACTTGTTTTTTTCTGTTTTTGATAGTAGCCATCGTAATGAGTGTGAGGTCACAATTCTCCAATGATTAGTGATGTTGAACATCTTTTCATATCCCTGTTGGCCATCTGTACATCATCTATGAAAAAATGTCTATTCAAGTCTTTCGCTGATTTTAAAAATTGGGTTATTTAATCTTTTGTATCAAAAAAGAATATCTGCAATGATAGAAAAATGCTATTGAAATATTTCTTTTTTCCAACCACCTACCTGTAATTGGATTTTATATATTTCAGCCAAAACAATATATGGCCACAGAATAAATGCAGAAGTTGATATGAGAATCCAGCTGCCTTCTATTAAGTCAGACATTAAAGACCATGCAAACATGTAAAACAATGTCAATTTTCTCTTTTTTGGGGGGGAAATATTACTTATTTTTCACTTCCCATAAAAATAAAATGTTATTTATGTTAATATGTAATAGGTTTATTATTGCTGGTTTTAAATCAATTAATACATATTTTAAAGGTTCTGTTTTAATTTCTAATATGAAAGTAATTACAGATATAACCCATATAAATAAACAAAAGCTCTTTGCAGGCCTTTAAGAGTATAAAGAGGTTAAGAGACCAAAAAGTTAGATAAATTAACTGCTAGAAGTGCTGAGAACTGAAGGCAGTTCAAGTAACCCAAGACTGGTCCAGAAGGAGGAGAAAATGTTTTTTGATAAAATAAAAAACAGTATTAATCATTAACAATGGTCTTTCTAGATGGTGATGGAAAGTGGGGATTGGCTGGTTGGTGGTGACCTTCAGGTACTGGAGAGAATAAGGTGGAATGATGGGTTGGACCAATACCGCCTGACACCTTCGGAGCTCAAACAGAAATGTAAAGAAATGAATGCAGGTATGTAGCTTGGTCCTACTGCATTTTGTTAACACTCCTTACCAAGAATCAGCATGTTTATAGTTTTGAAAAGTTGGAAACATCCTCTGTCCATTGACATGGAAACAGTTTATAAAGTTGAAATACTCGAATTTTAGGCAGCAGTTAAAAATATGTGCTACACAGAAAGATACTCAAAGTATATTAAGTGAAAAGGAAAATCACAGACTATATGTAGCATAATTTTAGAAAACAAAACACAGTGTAATAAGTGTTTTTGAAACCTGAACCTGCTTATGTATGTAAAAGCAGAAGTCTCTGGCAGCATGAGCACCAAACTGCAGATGTCAGCGGCTACCTCTTAGGGATGGAGTTGGACTAAGGGGAAGGAGAGATCTTCACTTTACATGTTTTGAAAAAGAGAAGAAGTATTGATAGGATGATGATTTTTTTATCCTATTTTGGGCTTTTCTGTATTTCCTAAGTTTTCTGTAATGGATATGTATTTATTTAATAACCAGAAGGAAAAATTAGTGCTCCCAGGAGTCTATCACTAAGTGGAGTTGTTTTGAAGATCTCCTTAAAGTGAAGGTGAAATATTTTTTACAACTTTAAATTGTTAAAACTCTGCACAGTTCCCAGAAAATGTTCCTTGTCAATATTCACACCCTGGGGGAATTAAGGATAGAGCAGGGTGCAAGAGGACTGATTAATGCAGGCCTTGCCTGAGCTTTGGTTTGCAGGAAAGGTCGTGGCAACAAATGTTTTCATTTCTGAGTCAGACTCTCCCTTAGGGCCCTCTGCCTCTTCGTCCTGTCCCTGTCTAAGCAGTTTGGCACTGGTTGGTACCTTTGGAGTAACACCCCTAAAGATCCAGGTGGATTCTCCGGCCAGTTATTAAAAGCAAGTGGACATAACAGGTGCCCTGAACAATAAACATAGCCTCATCTTTTCCCTTTTGTTCTTGCAGACCTTTCATGTCTTTGACCTTGGCATTTCTGCTTTCCTTTCCCAGATGCAGTGTTCGCATTTCAGTTGCGCAATCCTGTCCACAATGGCCATGCTCTGTTGATGCAGGACACCCACCGCCGGCTCCTGGAGAGGGGCTACAAGCACCCAGTCCTCCTGCTCCACCCTCTGGGTGGCTGGACCAAGGATGACGATGTGCCCCTGGAGTGGCGGATGAAGCAGCATGCAGCAGTGCTTGAGGAAGGGGTTTTGGATCCCAAGTCAACCATTGTTGCCATCTTCCCATCTCCCATGTTATATGCTGGCCCCACAGAGGTGAGCAATTCCCTGAGCTGGGCTGTCGACTCAGAAGTGCAAAGTCAAACTTAACTTAGAAGAGCAAGTGAGTCTGTGAGATTCTTCCTGATGAGCAAATTCTGAAGTCTTCTGGTGTCTCTTACTTATCCAACTTAATTATGTTTCCATCTAGTATTTGTAAAAATGCTAGAAACACCAAATCAACTTGTGCACTGGCTTTGAGAATATGGAAGTTGGCATGTGAATGAGGTAGATAATACAGTCTAACTGGGTTACAGGGCAAGACCTAGCTAGCCTAATACTGTTTCAGAAGTTCCTGTTACTCTGAAGTGATTCACCATTCTCTGTGAGTTACATTACAAGGGAGAGGATGTCTTTCAAAGGTTAATGTCTCCCTTTCATCACAAGACACTGAGACTATCACACAGAGACTTTCTTTGTCCCACTGCACCAGTGTAGTGGATCTGAACAAGCTTGTGGTAAGTATGATGAATTGAAAGGGTCTCAACCCTTTGAAATGCCCCAAACTGAGTTTAATGAATGAATTCTCTTCAACCAGATCACAGTTCCAGGCTCTTAGCTTTCATCCCCATCCTCTAAATTTCTGTCTGAGCTTTAAAGAGGGTAAGTCATCTTGAAATCTGAATGCTGTGCTGAAAGGCCATCAGTGTCTGCAAAGGAAAGTTAATTAGCTCATTACAGGCAGTCTGATAAGAGATAGTGGAGTTTGTAATTACCCTTCAACTGTGATTTATTTTGAGTAGGGAGGAACTGGAAAGTAAAATTCACAGTTCTGTGGAACAGGAAGGTCTGAGTGTTCCTGGTTCCTTCGTCTGGAGAGATGAGGAATGTAACCTCAGGCTCTCGGAGGGGTGACTCTTCTCTCTCAAGCTCTTCCCCCACGCAGTGTGACCAAGCAGGTGAAGAAATAAGTCCTGGGCACCTTACTACTGACTTGCTTACAATGATTAGTTGACCTAATCACTTCTCAGCAGAATAAAGGGGTGTCTCCAAAAACAGGATCCCCAGGACTGGCCAGTGATGACCAGCATGTCCTTCATGTGATGTTTCCCAGGTTCAGTGGCACTGCAGGTCCCGGATGATTGCAGGGGCCAGTTTCTACATTGTGGGCCGGGACCCTGCAGGAATGCCCCACCCTGAGACCAAGAAAGACCTGTATGAACCCACTCACGGGGGCAAGGTTTTGACCATGGCCCCTGGTCTCACCTCTGTGGAAATCATCCCATTCCGAGTGGCTGCCTACAACAAAGCCAAAAAAGCCATGGACTTCTATGATCCAGAAAGGTAAGTTTTCAGAGGAAAATTCTTTAATCAACATCTGTAGAACGGGAATGATAATGCAAAATTTTGGAAACCTCTCCAGTGTATCTCCCCACACTCCTAACTGGAATAAGAGTCCCTTGAAACCCAAGACCTGGTCTTAACACATTTCTGTGTCCCCTAGAGTTACAGCACCGCCCCTTGTATATAGTAAATGGTCCGTAAATATTTTTTTTAACATACACCTTCCTTGAGCACGCCCTGGGCACCTGGCACATTACCTGAAAGGAAGTCAACACAGAAGATTTCAGTGAGTATCTAGAGAGCACTCACCTTGCTCAGAGCTCACAGAAGTGGGCAGAGCAACAGAAGACACTTCCCGTGAGCAGCGTAGGTACAGAGGGAGCACTGAATGGACAGCTGCCACTATCTCCCTTTGTTCTGTAAGTTCCTTTCCTGAACTGAAGATGTAGCAATTCGCTCATTTTAGAAGATGCAGCATTTTGCAGAAAGAAAAAATGTGGTCTAAGAACCTGTAAGTGCCTCCCAGAAACTGGACTCTTGGAGGTAGGTGTTACTTACCGATGTTAACTTCTTTGTTGCTTCCCTGTGACAGGCACAACGAGTTCGACTTCATCTCAGGAACTCGTATGAGGAAGCTGGCCCGGGAAGGAGAAAACCCCCCAGACGGCTTCATGGCCCCCAAAGCATGGAAGGTCCTGACAGACTATTACAGGTCCCTGGAGAAGAACGACTAAGTGGCCTTCAGCCCTAGAGCTGCTTTCCGAAGTGCTCTTTGATTTCCTTCTCTATTTTTGTGATTAGATGCTTTGTATCCAATTACTTCTCAATGACTGATTTTAAAGTTAGTGTTTTATAATGAGGTAGAAATGTCTATAATTTAAAGTCAACAATGTATATATACACACATATACACGTATGTATGTATGTGTGTGTGTGTATATATATATATAAAGTAAAACTGAAGACCAAACCTTAGCAGGTGGAAGCAATACTGTTAATATTTCAGAATGAAATTAGCTGTATTCTCTACTGCATCTGAGCAGTAGGTCCAAGGTTTCTTAAAGCTTTGACCATGTGTCCAGTTTAAGTGCCAAAAAGGCAAAGCGTATTTTCCAGCTTAAGTCTCGCCGGCCTGTGCTCTCCCAGTGTCATATACCAGTAGTAAAAGAAATCAGATGGGCATCCCTTTCTAGACAGCTGACAAAAAGTAGTAATAATATAATGATCTCATTGTAAATGAGGTGTGGCTCATGTCAAGATTCTTGCTAGTCTTTCGCCTCACGCCCATGTACAGCCTTACTGCCCGATCTCTTATGTGCTGAAGTATATAACCTGACTGGAGAAACCAAATATGTGGAAATGTACATTTAATCTCTGAGAGCTATGCAGCCGAGTTCTGCCACGAAAGTTGTACTGTCTGGTAAGAAGAGAAGTCTTAATGTTTTTCTGTGAATATTGTAACTCCAGTTAAATGGCAACTTTTAATTGGATAGCATAGAGAGCTCTGATGAAAAGATGTGCGCCCGGGGCTCAATCTGGCAATGTTGTGGAAAGGTAACTTTCTCTCCTCTTTGCTGTGGTCACTGTGTCCTGCAGAGAGGCTGTGCCTATTTACTGCAGCGGCAGCAGCTGTGACCATAAATGGTTCACACCATAAAACCAGCGAGCTGCTGGAACTGGACAAAAAGGCAGAAATTCCAACCCTTTCATCTTAGAGGTGACCAAACTAAGACAATGCACAAGCACAGGTTCAGGAGCTGCCGAGCACCGTAACAGAGCCGCCAGGTCGGCATCTTAGGGAGGACTGGTGGCACTGAACCAGCGCCCAGCCCACTTGACTCCCAGTCTGGTGCTCTGTCTACACTGTACAACACAGGAGCTGGAGCTGGTTCCCTCAACTGCTTAACAAAACTCTCTGAACAGAGGGCACTTACAAAGCAGCTTTCTTGGATGCTGGAAGTTCCAGAGTTTTTTAAACCCAGCTGATTTGACTGTAATTGGGAAAAACTTTTCCAAAGACTTGCTGTCCTGAGACATCCAACTTCTGATGGCTTCGCTTCCTGGGAGGCAATCTTTTGCACCTTATGCATAATTCCTTGTTACCGAGGAATATATGAAGAGACAGTACCTTTTGTACATAGGTCTCTCTGGAAGGGACTTCTTAGACTGGAAAGAGAAAACTGTGATTTTTTTTTTCATTTTCATTTAAAAAAATGCTAACCCTAGCTAATGAAAGTTCTTTTGAGAATAAATTACTTACAGTGGCCACAGCAAAGTATAACTGTCTTTAATAGTGTAGTGCCTATATTCATTTAATCAGATGTCCTCACTACTGCCTTTTTTAAAAAGCAGCATATTTATTGAAAACAGGAGACAAGATGTAGTGCCTTAGCCATGTATTTTGTGATTTTTAAAAATATATTTAAAACTGCTCTTCTGCTCTAATACCACACTTAGTGCAAATGATTAATTCTATTGTACAACTGATTCTTGTTCCTATTTTAATAAATTTCTCAAAATGAAGGCTGAATCTTTTCTAGCACAGCGAATGTGGGTTGACCATATGACGGTTGAGGCCTTTGTGACTTTGTATAATTGGAGAGAAGCAGCGACTCTTTCAGACCGTAATTAAGAGGCTGACTGCCCTTGTTCATGTCTTTTTTTTTTTTCTAAACTGAGCTCTAGATGGGAATGAGAGACACAAGCTCTCAGCCGAGCACGACAGTGATATTTTCAGAGGTGACTGTGAAATCAGAGGGACTTCAGATTGTCCTGCAGATTTTGGGTTTTTCCCCCTCCATGAGTCCCTGCCTCCCTTCTGACCTGAAGGCTTCATGCAAATTTCTGCTACTGGTCCTGACTCCAAATAAAACTGGTGTTAATAGCTGGCCCAAAGCTGCCTCTTGTCAACACTCCCTCTGTCTCCCCAGATCCTTACTTGCTGGCTCCTAGTGACAATCCATAGGACAAAGGAGAGCAGGGAATGTGTATGTACATGCAGACAGAGGTGGTGCTGTACATGCAGTATGCCAAACTTACTGAGAAAAAATCCTGGAAAGGCAACAGTAAATCATTCAGTCAGATAATGGTGGACTTATAAATCTATCAACTTTAATATCAGGACGTAAAATTCCTCTCCAACCCATCTCCCTGCAAGAGGAAACAAACCTTAGTGACTTGAGAACAGCAAGTTTGTTTCTTCCTCACCTTCCTCCCATTACCTTTTAGGTCTAGCATGAATCTTCAATATACTTTGCTGATAGGCAGGAAATCAGGAAATTCTGAGCACCAGATCAGTCAACTGTCCTTATGTCTAAAGGTTTGATGGAACCTAGTGCAGCTTTTGCCTTTGAGATTTTGAGTGCTATAGGTTCCTATTGTTTACGCATATCCCTATGACCAATAATGTAAAAGAACTGATGATACGGACGTTGGAGTAGCCATTAGATTTTCTTCCCCCAGCATGCATTTAATTCTTTGGTCAGTATTAACTATTATTGGGCTACTCATTATATATATTCATCAAATGTTAAAAGTGATGTCTAAGCAAGTCACTAATACATACTCCAAAGGTGCCCCCCTCTTTTCTGCTTAAATTTTAATTTTGTTGAAATTATTACTAGAAATAGGTCACTGGCTAATTTGGACACTTTAGTTTGATATAGAAAAACCTAGACAAAATAAAAACAATACTTTAAAAGTTAAAAAATAATACTGTGGGGCTAGGAAAGAGTTGTGGTGATGCAAGGAACTGAGAAACAAGCCTTTCACAGTGAGCCTTGTAGTTTTTCAGTGGCTTATCTTTTGTAACCGAGGTATTCTCCCCCACCCCCAAGCCATCACCCTTTCCATAGACTTCCTCATTTGGATTCACTGCAGGGAAGACCAGTCTCAATTAGTAAGAAATCTAAATTATAGAATGTTTTAAAAAGTAGTACAATTTTATTACCTTCAAATACAAAAGTGACAAACTAATGGGCATAGCTCCTTTAATGTCATAACACACATCTCTAATTGCTGGCATCAATAGCATACATTTTACTTGGGAAAGTTCTCAAATACAGTCAGTTTCTTTCAGAAACTCAAACATGCTCTGCACCTATTTTAGTCAAATAATGTCTGTAAAAGTTCTTACATATTATAATGTATTATACAAACATGGGTAGACAGAAATCTTGATTTATACTTACTACATAAGCCAGCTTTCCATAAATAGTTCAAAGGTACAGTTCAGCTGAGCACAGGCTGAAATAATAGCGGCCTACTTTCACGTAAACAACTCCCGTACTGACCTGGTCTTTAACATGCTGATCGCCATGTCCCTCAAATCTTGGTGACAGATGTGTTTCCTCAGAAGCGCCCGATCCACAGTGGGCGATCAAGGTGTTAAACTAGTTAAAAGACTGGCCTCTATAAATGTATTTATGAAGAAGAACTTTCATTTATGGAAGACATTAATTCCCTCAACCCCTAAAGAGGTTGTATTCCCCCATCTTATCCTCAAATTATAAAAAGTTATGTAAAATATCAGATCTTTGGATATTCAAAGTAAACAACCAAGGAAAAAGCTTATAGCTTCACAAAAGCCAAAGAAATAAACACATTTAATAAACAGTAACACCAGGTACATGGAAGTGTCTATGACTTGTCTACCTAGGGCATGTTTCATAATTTATGCCTATCAAAAACAAGTTCATTTACCAAGGCTGACACCCATCGGTGGCTATGAAGGCCACCCAGTTTAGAAATCTTGATGAGCCGGTCAGTACTGCTAAGGCCCTGACATTATCAATATGGCCACAGCTGCATCAGCGTGCTGTTAGTGAAAACTGGGATGGGAACTTAAAGAACATCTATGTATGCATTTCCATTACTGTACAGATTAAGGAAATGGAGGCCCAGAATCGTGAGATGACTTCCCTAAGGACATGATAACCTACAGACATATTCAGTTCCTAGTTTCCAAAGTATTTTCATATTCTTAAAACAATCACAGAAGGTATACATTATGCTTTCTCTTACAGATAAGAGAACAGATGCCTACAGAAACAGATTTTGTCCAAGGCTACGTTAGGAAGTTCTCTTTCTCTCTCTGTATATAGAAAAGTTCCACAGCTGGGATTGAAACCTAAGATGCTGAAAACAAACTTTACATGACTTATAATGAATACCTGCACAATTTATTCTGCTAGAATGTAGAATGATGCAAAAGACTTTCACTCCCATAGTAACAAGAAAAATCCAGGCAAAATAAAGAGACTTTTTATGAGACTAGCAAAGAACAGTGGATGTAAGGAGTTCTTCATGGATGTCCAAGGGGAAATAAGCCCTTCAAAGGAGAGCAGAGAGCCTTGGTACTACTCTCAAGTCTGGATGTAGTGTGGGAAAGAGCAGGCCTGCCTTAAATGGAGAGACTTTGCAGGCATGAGAATTCAGCCAACACTCAGACAATAGTGACTGAAATCTGGAAACACATTTAGAAACAAACTGCCAGTCTAGACAATCCACCTTCCCTGGACTTTGAAGAGAAAATGGCAGAAGAGGGACTGAAAGTCTTATGCATTCTTAATGGTGACTGGGTGCCTGGGCCCTGACAGAACTGAATACAAAGCACCACAAACATCTTAACTTGCACCCAAACCCCTCCTAGCTCAAATACTGCCAAGATCAAACCAGAAGCACAGGAATTGGTCTAAGCTGGGTCAACACAATCTTATTAAAGCTACAGCCAAGACCTAGCCTGACTAGATTTTGGAGAAATGGGAAAGATCAGTCCTTCACCCTGACTGCCGATTATCGGAAGAAATGGCTTGCACTTCCTGGAAATAAAACAAAAACCAAGTGTTACACATGAGTCTCCACTGTCCTTTCTTATACCCACTATCTGAAACAAAATAAATTACATGTTAAAAAGTGATCACCTAGTTAAAGAGTTGGGCATGCCAAGAAGCACATCATCATCAGGTGGTAAAGCTTACGGGATCAGACCAACCAGTCCCTGAAGGCCATTACAAACTGTAATGTATGCTGTTCATACGTCCACCGTGCCCCCGGAGTCATAACACTGCCCCTCATTTAGCACACATGTATGGCCTCATTTGCCACTTTTTTATCCAGCTACGTACCTCACAATACTCAGTTTCCTTTGGATGAAATGCCACTATTCCGTTCCAGTTGACCAGTACATCCAGATACAGTTGGCCCCAGAACAACACAGGAAGCGGTTGGGGTGCCAACCCTCCTTACAGTTAAAAATCCCCGAATAACTTACAGTCAGCCCTCTGTATCCACAGTCCCTCTGCATCTTTGGTTCCACACCTACAGATTCACCAACTGCAGACCATGTAGTACTGCAGTGTTTACTACTGAAAACAGTCTCAGTGTAAGTGGGCCCGCACAGTTCAAGCCCATGTCATGGAAGAGTCAACTGTACTCACTTTCAAACCATTTAAGCCAAAGGAGTTCTTGGAGGGTCAGTCTCAAAGCTCCAAGGACTGCTAGGGGTGATTTCTGACCTGGCTTTGTACACTCCTAGGATTCTGAAACTTAAATGGGGCAATTTAAAGAAAAACATTTGGAGTTCATTTAATCCAGTGAAGGAATAGAAGCAAGATTCTTAAGCAATTCCTGCTAAAAAACCTTCTGGAGCTTTCAGTTTCTAACCTAAGTTCAGTTTTTTAGCTTCCCTTTGATCCTTCAAATAAATCAGTTATCACTTAGGTCAGCTAGAGTTGACTGCTTGCAATAGAACCCTAACTGGTCCTCTTTACAAGACTATGACTATGGCCTAGAAGACGAACCTCATCACCCTCAGATGTGTCTGCAAAGGGCTTTGTTTACTGAATAATGTATTACCACCCCGATTTGAGTATCTTGGTCATTCTTAGAATTTCTGGAAGCTGTGCATCTTCAGAACGGTGGGGCATACTCCACTGGGTTCTGTTCCAAATTTTCCATGTCAGTAGCTACTTCAACGTTTGGCTGTAGTTTTAAAACTGTCACAATTCACAAACCCATGTCCTTGATACATTCCATATCAGCACTAATCACTGTAACTGTATCAAAGCACACAAGCTTTTATCTAAAAGTGTTGTCAAGCAGATTTATAACTGTAAATATAAGACAATCACAAAAGTATACTCCCAGTTCAGTGTTTTAGTAGTGAGACCCTTAAGCAGTGTAACTATTAATAGTGTGAAGTTTAAACCGGTGTTACTAAGGATGTTTTGTTTTTACTCACATGCTAAATGGTTTCTTTTAGGTTTGATTTCATTGACATTTGGCATCTGTGCCAGGAAGGCACACACCTTGGAGATATTGTGGGTTTGGTTCCAGATCACTGCAATAAAGCAAATATCTCAATAAAGCAAGTCACACAAATGTTTTGGTTTCCCAATGCATATAAAAATTATGTTTACACTATATTGCAGTCTATTAAGTTTGTAATAGCATTATGTCTAAAAAACAATGTACATACCTTAAAAAATACTTTGTTGCTAAAAAATGCTAACCATCATCTGACAATGCAGGGTTGCTACAAACCTTCAATTTGTTAGAAAGAAAAAAAAGCACCATCTATGAAGCACAATAAAACAAGGGTATGTATGCCCTTACATCTTCTCAATACAATTTCATGAACATGATGACTTGGACAGAATTTTCACCTATACAAGGAAAGAGAGCTGTA